GCTACCAATGATTTCAATGATGTATAACGAACACTTAAATAATTTAAAACAAAAAGATGTTTTTGATACACTATAATCTGCAACACAGATTCTCAGTATAGGCAATTACTTCTGACTTGTGCCAAGTTCTTAGGAACAATACACACATGCACACACAAACACACACTATTCTCTCAGTTACACACGTAAGACCAGAGGCTACTTGCACAGGAGAGTGAAACCAACAGCATGTGGGGCGGCATGTAGACCACAGGCTCAGTGATATTGCAGTTCTGAAGGCCAAGTTCATCCCCAGAGAATCAGCTCGAGGTACTCTCTTTAGCATCTGGAACTCTGACGTTAGTTAAAAACCCTTCTACACTTGATTGTAAAACTTACGCATAGGTTCCTCCTGGGCCGTCAGTCATGCCAATGACAAATACTTGGCGGCTACGGAAACCAGAAATTTCAGAGCTTGAGCACCTTTTCAAAACAAAATATTCTCTAGCTTTATTTGCCACTTCAGTAATCAGGGCAAAATTGGTACAGGGAAATCTTTAGGTACTTCTCCAGGAAAATGAAAGATAAAAGACTTTTTTTTTGTCCCTTACCTTCCACTCTATAATTTATGTTCTACTTTTAAGCCCAAATGATTTCACATGGTTATTCAATCTCTGTAAATGCCTGCAATAAAGCTCTGCTGCAGCAAATTTGATTCTGAAAGCCGGTTAACCAAGAATCACACCACAACCATAGCCCTTAAAGGCAAGAAGGAATCTGCTGCTTCAACGAACGGAAAAACGCAAGGTGTCTGTACCGTCCTGCGAGGTTTCTGCACACGGGGACATGTGGATGCGACATGGCTTCATTTTCCTTACGTGATGGTGCTAGTGAACCTACGACTAGAGCGCTTCTGGCTAGTAAGGCCGGGTGACCTCTGCCTCCAGCTGCTTCCTTCTCCTTCAGCAATGTACTAACGGGTGACCCCACCCGCTTGGTCGGCAGAGGGTGGGCCTGGGGTTTGGACTCGGATGGAACCCTAGCGAGGCCCTCCGTTTTCTGTGGCAAAGCAGGTAATTTTGCACATTCTAAAGCCAGGCTGCATTTGCGTACAACCTGTTTTGACTTTTGCTCTGCCGAGGATGGATGCGGGAGTCAGTTCCGTGTCACCAGTGAGGATAACGTCTACAATTAGGCATCGATTTCGAGAAACAGAAATGCGCCAGCGGAGCAAAGAGTCTCCCCGGACTGCGGTCGGCAGGTCCGCTATTGTCCTGCTTGGCGGAATACAGCGGTTAGAAGCACTATCTCAATTCCTGAAATTCAGTACTCTCGTAGGAAAATATTTCTCCTTTACTTATTTTTTTTTAAAGAAGATAAAATATTTTAATTGTAGTGGTCATAGGAATTCTTCTGGTTTCTCTCTCATGATTATTTTCAATGTACACAAGAGTTGCTTCGGTGGACGCAGCGACAACGCCATCAGAGCATTCAAAGGCGACCGCCCCGCCCCGTAGATCGACCGATCGATCGGCTGTGCCTGGAAGCTGCAGGTGCGTCTGGCCGACTGAGGACAATGGCGAGACCTGTAGCTGCGGAGCCCAAACGTTACTCAGGGACGCCCACGGACGATCGCCGCTGAATGGCGGGTGAGGGCTGCTCCTTCACTGCAGATCCACGCCGCACAGCCTGCCGACCCCGGGGTCACGCGCACGGGTCTGTGCCGCCTGCGGCGTGGGGCGGATCCGGTCCCGGACAGCCGTTCCCGAACGCTATTGGATGTTGCACGCCGAACAGCAGGGGTCGTCTTTGTCCGGCTGCGCGGCGTAGTTCATCTGCCTCACGATCTCTGCAAAGAGCTCGTCCACCATTGTCTTACTCTTGGCGGAAGTCTCCATGAAGGGGCAGCCCCACTCCTCGGCCAGGGCTCTGCCTTCGTTGGAGGACACTTCTCTCTCGCTCTCCAGGTCCACCTTGTTCCCGACCAGGATGACTGGCACCTTCTCATACCTACGGGAACAGAACACACACACGTTCTGAGAGTTAGCGCGAAGTTCAGTGGGTACAGGCACTTTCTCTTCTCCACCGTACTCTACCCGCTGCAGATATTCCCTGTAGTTGCGTGAAAAATCGTTCGCCCCACTGGCTCCACACCTACCTGAGGGCATTTAGGAGCTGCTCCCATAGTGGATCACAAGTGAGTTTTCCAAAATGATGTTTTTAATTAATCAATTACACACCCTTTAGGCACGTTCTCCCTCCGGGGAGCACGCCCACACCTTCCTTCCCTCCCAGCTGAGCATCCGAGTCCCCACGAGACTTGCAGCCAGGGGAGCAGGGGCAGAGGCAGCTCGTCCCGGGCCGGGCCCCCTGAACCTGTCTCCAAGGCCCCGCGTCCCTGACTCTCCAGGGAGTCACAGTGGCCCCGCCCACTCCTGTTGCTGCTTCTACCCGGGGCCCTTCCTTGTTTCTCGCGATCGACTGTGTCCCCCTCGGCCTCCCGGCGGACCGACAGCGATGAGAGTGAGAGTGAGGCTGCATCACAGACCCCCGAACGTCAGCCGCCTCGCACCCGGGCCACCCCGCCCTGCCGCACGGAGCAGCTTCGCCCGGAGCCGCCCTGCCAGGCTCGTCGTCGGGACGAGGCCGGCTCCTAGTCTGTTCTGCTTGCAAAGGTACAACTGCATCTCATTCTTCTCACGAGAATATAGATGAGCATGATGACGAACTGTATTAATAAGTAAAACTAGTTCTCTGAAGCGGCTCTGCTCAACGCACTGCATGAAACATCAGGATCCCTGGCTGGAGTGTCACTCAGCCCTGAACGTCCACGGACTGTCGGTGAGGCGGCTTTGGAAATACGAACAGTCAAAAGAATTTGATGTGCTTACCCATCAACCTTATGTTTTCTCTATTGTTTGTAACTGTCCCAACATGTGCATATTTGTTATGTACGTGTGCATGTGTATTTTACTTTGGTTGTGTGCCTAAACTTGGCTGGTCATCAGAATAACTTGATGATTCAAAAATATATATACTGAGATCCAGGTCCTATTCCACCTACTGAGGCTGAACGTGTGGGATCGGGGCTCAAGACAGAAAACGTATATCGACACCCATATCACGACCCGGAAGCACTCAAGACCACCTGTGGACTCCAGCAGGGTTCGGAAGCACTGGCCTAACCTGCTGCTTTGTGACCCCCACCGGACGGGTAGGGACCTGGCTCCTGGTTGTACACTGGTGAGCCCGGGACGGGTTCCTTGTTCCTTTCATGGTTCACCCATGAGAAGTCCTGGACAGACCCCAGGACTGCCAGGGTCTTTAACTTCCGTTTGAGGATGTTGTAGTACGACATTATATGGCCATCCATCGCATGAATTTTATCTTCCTGTTTGCCTTAGCTACTTTTTTGCAAGCAGCTTGAAATACAATTGTCTTTGAATTCAGAAATGAGAATCAGAAAGATTTTTATAGGTCCCCCTGTTCAATCCTCCACCCGATGTTAAAAAATCTCACCTACCAGGAGTCTCAAGGCAACACGTTCCAACACTTGGTGTGTCAATCACTTGCTTCCATGGCAACCTTCCCAAACTGTCATGTCTGAGCATCTTTAGTGATACAACACTCGCATCTCGGGCTGTGCGTTTGGCCCTTCGGCCAGTCCTGTTAGATGCTGGTGTTACAGGGTTTACCCCGCCTGACGGATGAGCTGGAATCTAATGTGTTCCCCTTCCTTCTGGGTGCTAGTGCTTTCACCCTTTAGAACAGAGAAATCTTTTCTTTTCTCCAAAATGAAAATGAGAGTTTCTTTCTTTTCTCCCTTTTCAAGTTGAATAAGTAATACTTGATGATTTTTAAAAAGTCTCTGGAAATAGGTAAATAGGTAGAGATGAAAATAAAAAAAAAAACCTCTCACCTCCATCAGAATAATTACTATAACTACTTTGGTATATTTTATAAAATATAGTATATAAAATAGTTTATACAGTTACCTATCTATATAAACATAGACATTTTTATAAAAAGTATCATACCTATTTTATTTACTAGTTTCAAGCTCTATTTACTATCACAGAACTTTCTATTTCAATCTATGATTTACACTATGTTAATAGATAAGTAATATTCCATTTTATAGATTCTAGGCTACAGCTGTACTGTGATATAATCACTCCTCCCCCATGAATGCATATGAAGGGTTGCCATCCCCTCATCTTTTTCACTGACATAAATGACGATCTGACGAATTATACCTAGATGTGTGATTTCTGTCTCAAAGGTACGCACAGGATGTGTGTGTGAGTGTGTGTGTCTGACACACCCTTTGAACCAGAAAAATCTCACTTCAAGGTCGGTTCGTCAGATTGCTGTGCGCACGCACACACACACACACACACACACGCAGTCTCAACGGACACCCAGAAACGTATACTAAATCTGCCAGTGCTTCGGACAAGGGTGCCTGCTTCCCCGCCCGTGGGATCGATGTTTTTAATTTTCCAACAGAGGGCGACGGCAGGCCTGTGGAAAAGGCCGTCCGGGGCTGGGCGCCGAGGGCCCGGGCCCTGCAGCGTGCCAGCGTGGGGCAGCAACGCCTCCTGCAAGGGAAACACGGGCTCAATGAGGCCGCCCTCTTCCTCCAAGCTGACTTGTTTGGAAGTGACTAAATACTTTATCTTAAAGGGCACTCCTGGTAATTTAGCTTGCATAATGAAAGGAAATCACAACCTTTTGCTCTGACTTTCTCTTGGTTTCAGAAAACATATTGAAGGAGAACAGAGAGAAACCGTAAATGTAATGTAAAAATTAAGTACGGAGAGTAATGATGCTAAAAAAAACCCCATTCAAAGCTATCAGGGCTATTCCATTCCAATGTAAATAAAAATAATCTGCTTTCACAGAAGTTAAGGATCGACCTTTGATCGGAAGAATGAATTCCTAACAGCATGACTGTGAGGGCCCAACGGGTCCTGGCTGCAGCTCAGGCGGTGAAACGCTGCTTTGAACGGTCACCGAGGGCGCTCGCCTCGGCAGCGCGCACGGGGGAACTGGGGTGACACAGAGAAGATCAGGGTGGGCCCCGTGCGAGGACGACACGCAAATTCGGGAGGCGTTCTGTAGTTTTAGGACTATCAGCTGGCTTCATGGAAATCTGCCGGCCAGGAGGACGGGCACAAAACACTCAAAGTCATGAAAAGCAAGGACCTAAAACCAAGATGACTCTACCCAGCAAAGCTATCCTTTCGACTGGAAGGACAAATAACGTGCTTCCCGGACAAGAAAAAGCTAGAGTTCATCACCACCAAACCAGTATTACAAGAAATGTTAAAGGGTAAAAAGGTAATAAATACTATGAATAATAAAATGGCAATAACTACGTGTCTATCAATAATCACTTTAAATGAAAATGGGTTACATGTGCCAATCAAAAGAAGTATGGTAGCTGAGGAGATAACCAAACAAGACCCTTACGTGTGCTGTGCGCAAGAGACTCACCGCAGATCTAAAGACACAGAATAAAAGGGATGGGAAAAGGCATTTCACGCAAATGGAAACAAGCAAACAAACAAACAAACAAACTCTGGGGTAGCAATGCTTATCCCAGACCGAACAGACTTTAAACCCCATAACAAGAGACAGCAGAGGAGCCAACAGCCCCATTTCTGGGTACTCATCTGAAGAAACCTACAGCACTACATTGAAAAGACACATTCACCCACGCGTTCACTGCAGCACTATCTGCCCTAGCCAAGACCGGGGCGCAGCCTACGTGCCCGCCCGCCGACCAATGAAAAAGAAGCGGAGCGCGTGTACAACGGAACAGCCCTCAGCCACGGAAGGGAACGAAACCTCGCCATCTGTCACAGTGCGGACGGATCGCGACGGGTCTGCAGGGTATTGTGCTGACTGAGCTAGGTCAGACGGAGAAGGCAAACGCCAGGTGATTTTACTTATATGTAGAATATTAAAAAAAAATAAATGAACAAGCAGAACAGAAACACACTTAAAATACAGAGAACATCCTGATAATTGACAGACAAGAACGGGGCTGGGGGCTGGGTGAAAAGGTGAAGGGATTAAGTACAGATCGGCAGTAACAGGACAGTCGTGGGGATGTAAACGCAGCACAGGAAATACAGCCAATGACATTCTAATAACTATATACGGTATCAGATGGGCACTGGATTTATTGGGGTGATCACTTTGTAAGTTACAGAAATGTCTGATCACACGGTTGGTACACCTGAAAGTCATATAATATTGTACACACCAACTATAATTAAAAAAATAAAAATTATTTTTAAAAAAGACTAGGAAACAAACCCACCGATTTCCCCTCTGCACATCACCCATCCTCTCTCGAACTTCTAAGCACTTCTTTACTAACTGGCCAAGCTGTCTTTTACTTTCTCATAACCCTGGGGTGGGCCCAAAAGTTTGAACATTCGGTGAAGCAAGTACTAGGAAGACCCAGGGAAGATTAAAAAGAGTATTAATCCAGAAAGAAAGGAAATGGGAAAAGACTTTTCGAAACTGTGACCTAAAGTCAGTAATACATTTCATATCATAACCAGTATATAAAAATATTCATAAACTTATTTACCTGTATAACATGCAAGTTACTGATATAATATACTTTAACTTTTTTATTGTACTGTATTCTGCTCCTTTCCATATTTTTCCATTAAAAAAAAAAGGTCACTGGTCACAACCCACTGAACTGATTTTCATGGCTCAATCATGGACAAGACTTACCCTTTGAAAAACACGGGATCGGAGACATCTGAACTGCTCGCCCAGACCGCTCTGCGCTCCTTCCAAAGTCCGTCTAGGGCAAACCGCAGAGGGCTCTGGTGCCAGGAAGGACCCAGTGCCACGTGTCCGGCTGTCCTGCCATGCCATCCGCCCCTTCTTCCTGGCCACGCGGCAGCTCATCCAGAAACTCCATTTCCCAGCCCAGCTTTCCTTGCAGTGAGGTGCGACCATGGCACTCAATTCTACCAATAAAATCTGAGTGGGGATGATTGTGGGATCCTGCACTCCTTTGTTAGAAGGAAATTCCTTGCCCCAGACGTCTGCCCTTTGCCCTTCTTTTCTAGAACTGGATGGACTAAGTCACAACGACCTGCCTTGGCCCATGCAGAGGAGGAGCACCACCTAGAGCAGGGTCCGCACACTACTGCCCACAGGACAGCTGTGGACACCACCTGTCTGCAGCAATGGGTTTCACGGGAACACACACACACACCACTGAGGGAGAAGACGTTTGAAAAATAAACAGCTGATAAAGGATTCTTATGCAAAATATACAAAGTCTTAAAACTCGACAATAAGAAAACTTTAACTGGGCCAAAAACTTTATAGACACTTCACCAAAAAAGATACGAAGATGGCGAATACGCATGTGAAAAGATGCTCTACGTCCTATGTCACCATTTGTGTTATGAAACGCAAATCGGAACGAGACAGCACCTCACACCGAGGAGACTGGCCAGTGTCCAGAACGCTGAGAGGATCCATGCTCAGGAGGAGGTGGAGCAACTGGAACTCTTATCCGTTGCTGGCGGGAATGCACAATGTCACAGCCCCTTGAATCAGTCTGATGGGTTTTTACAAAACGACACACACTCTTCCCACACAGTCCCGCAATCCTCGGTGTTTGCCCAGGAGGGTGAAAGCCTGCCTTGGTGTTTATAGCGGCTCTACTCACAATTGCTCAAGGAAGAGAGGACTTCTATCCAGAATGTAAAAAGAATTCATACGGAACATAAAAAGATGACCATGCAATGTTTTAATGGACAAAGCACTTAAATATGTCTTAAAAGATACCCAAATAGTCAATAAACAAACATGTGAGAAGGTGCTCAAAATCATGCTGTACCAGGGAAACAAAAGCTAAGATCACCATTAAGTACCCCTTTTAGAATGTTACCAGATCAGCTACAATTAAAAAGTCCGGCAGTACCAGGTGTGGGCCAGGTTGTGAGACACCTGGAACTCCTGCTGGGAGAAGGGTGACCTGCCGGAACGACTGCGTGGGAGAACTATCTGGCAGTACGGACTCACGGCAAACACGCGCATTTTCGGCCCAAGAATTCTGCTGCCAGGTATACACTAAGAGAAACTGCATGTAGGTATACGAGCAAAAGATACGCACTAGAAGGTTCATGGTAGCATCACACGTGACCGCCCCATCCAGAAACTGTCCAAACGCCCGTCCACGGAACGATGACACCGCAGTGCATCATACAAGGGGACCACTGCGCCTCTCAGCGAGGATGAACAATGGCCACAGAGATGAGCCCCGCAGAGCCAGGGGCTCGGCAGCGGGCCAGGTTAGCCGGGCCGGCCTCTGCGCACAGAGACGTCAAGGATGGAACGTGAGCCGCCTGCCGAGTTGCCTGAAATGTCCTACCTCTCCATCTGGGATTTGGTTGCACTACGTGTAGGCACCTCAGTAAAAAAAATTGAAACAAAAAAAAAATCAATAAGTAAGGTAGTTATTTAAAAGATGTCCTCATTAAAATAGGGATAGTAAAATACCCTTCGAGACAAACGGAGTAAACACGTATGTTGATTACGGGGTTGAAATCACATAAAGTGCACGATTAAATGGATCAGTCAGTTTATTACTCAGTTGCACATTATTAATCAATTTTAAATTTCTGTCCAAGTGCTATGCTTTTAATTTAGACTCAAAACAGGCCAAAGACGAAACGGATAATAAATGCTAGTACTAAAGTGTATGGTATTGGAAATAAAAGCAGTAACAGTTCTGAACATTTTCTTCACAATCAGATCTATAAATTGTATCCATCTGACCACAATCTGTTTCAGGCACATCAAGATACCACAGTATTGCAAATATACACATTAAAAAGAAAAAAACATGATGATGAATACATTTAATCTGGCTTTTTAAAATTAGAAATGGAGATTATCCACCCAAGTAATGTATTAATGGTGAGGAAGTATTTGCAACTAGAAGCTTAAAACCTTGTCACTTAAAAAACAAATGCAAAAACTGTCTAAATAAACCCACTGACTGTCTTATTTTTTTAAAGCAAAATATCCAAGACACCAGAATATGTAGAGAAAAAAGTCATTGATCTATATTTGATACTTGGAATGTGTAGCTAAATTTCAATCTGTGTTTTAATGTACATCCAGCCACCAAATCAAAAATGTCATATTCAAATCTGTCAACGAAGTATGATTCTTCTTACATAGTTTAAATAGCAGGAAAAATTCAAGCCTGAACACATATGAAGAACACACAGGTTTCAATCTGTTAAAGGGACAACAACATAGTTCAGACATAATAAAGTTCAGACATAACTTTAGTGAGAGTTGAAATATGAAACCTGTGTATTGAGAAATAAGTCGGCCTATTATACTTGAAAAGACTATATTGAGTCAATTGCTCAAGAGTATAAAAGTTATTAGAATTATCTACATTTTTATCTGAAAAACATTAAAAGGTACATCTTCTCAGCACGGCTTCATTTTAGAATTCTTAGCAAAAATGTTTATGAATAAAAATGCATATGCATTTGGTAGACAAAGTGCAGTTACGAATGCTTTTTAAAAGATATCTTTGAATGAAGAAGATCTGAGAATGCACCAAAGCTATGAAGAACTAAAACGTTTTAGGGAACTTTTAAAATTATCAGTAGAAGAGCACTTATCTTAGGAAATGTTTCTATCTTAATAGTAAGATCTTAAAATATTTCTTATTTCCAAATCAGTAAGTATAAAGAGCACTGAATAAAAGTTAAAAAAAAAAAACCTCACACAAAAAATCTACCAGCTTTCTAGAAAGCTCAGGTTATTGGACCCATAGAATTAGCATTTCTTCTCTCCAGCAATAAACAGCTCCAGGGAGGAAGACATCAATTATATATGACACGGACCTGGTTCGTTCAACTGGTGTAAGAGTGACTGGCGATGTCTATTAAACAGGTTTTTTTTTTTCATTTGAACCAGGAGAAGTAACAGGTGACAGATGGAAAAAGCAAAACAAAACACACCCACAATAAAGGAGCTGGGAACTGGCATTCCTGGCGGGGAGGATGGGGCCCAGCAGCAGCCAATGGTGAATGAGGAGCTACAGGCACGTTCCCA